GGACCCTGACATTTCTCCCCTACACCCCCCACAGCTTCAGAGAGGCAAATTTAGGATAAATCAAAGGTCTGCTTACTTTGCAGAATGATTAAGACATTTGTGGAACTTCCTACCCCAAGAGGTAATACAGGCTGAAAGTGGAAATTTAACACCCCCTCCAGATTTACTCCCCTCAATGGGTGCTCACACTCACCGACTGGGGTTCCCAGAGGAGACTACAACCCCCCCCCCCCCCCCCCCCACCCCCGCCACAGAGGTGATCTTGAGGAGTTGTAGTTTCTCAAACTGGCTCCTTAGCCCCCACCAGTGGCCTACCCATTATTAATCAATCACTTGACTTGCATTTTCTTTTATCAAAGTGTATATAGCTAGAATATATAGCAAGAATGTAGGTTCAGTCCCCTGCCTAAACCAAGGGTGCCCTCTCCCCTTTCGTACACAAGGTTCGTAGGGAGAGTTGGTTCAAACTTCAAATTCAGTGATAGTGAAGCTGGCCTGTGGCTTATGCACATGGCCAAGGGCCACCCTCTGATTCTGGCTGAAGAGGCCCTTTCCTTCCTTTGTGAAAGCTTCATGAATGGCCCCCGAGGGTAGTTCTTTGCTGGGCTCCAAGGATTGAGACCTTTCGAGTTCTCTCTCTGAGAGAACTGAAAGGGGTCACGGTCCTTTAAGTTGCTACCATCCTGTGGTGCCTCCTTTCCACATCTGTCTGCAGGTACTTCTTCTGTGGTTGGTTGCTACTGCTCTGGTGGACCCTGCTACTGCCTCCAGGGCCGTAGGCCTTCTGATGGATCTCCCAGACTCCCACAGTCACCTGGGCACTCCTATCTCCAAATACCCATTTGGTTAAGATCAGCAAAGAAGAAACCTTTTAGAAGGAAAGACAGCATGGGTGCATGGCCACAGCTGCTAGCTGTGAGGTAGGTCACCCTTCCCCCTACAAGGCAGCCCATGCCAAGATGAAAAAGAGACTGAGAGTGCAACTTGCACCTTGGGTATGCAGACTCACTTCAGGCTCAGCACCTCCTGAGTGCTAGCTCAACAACCTGAGGATTAGTCATCAGGCTTCTCAGCCAATTGGAAGACTTTCCATCATTGCACAATACCAGGTCCCATCTCCCCCCACCCCTCATGGCTTGAGGAATTATGGAACTAGTGGGGGAGGGAGTGATTGTCTAACTTACTTGTGACTGTATGCTACTGATACATACCCTTCACTTTCCTACCTCCATGCCTTTACCCCTATGGTTCCCTGTGCCTGGGATACTCTTCCCCTCACCCCTCACCCCTCTGCCTGCGCAATGACTGAATAACTTCAACCCATCATTTAAAATCCAACTCAGATTGGATTTTGCCTCTTCCAGAAAGACCTCCCGCTCCCCACTTCAGTAATTAATGGCCTGTCTTCCTTGGGAAGTCACATAGCCCTTGGCTTCTATCTCATTTATACGCTTACTATGCACTATTTGGCTTGCTGGTTATTTATCTATGCATGTCTCATGTCTTCCTACTAGACTGCCTCAACGTCAAGGCAGAAACTACTTTTTGTCTACTGTTTGTATTCCCGACCCCATCATAGTCTTTGGAACATAGTTGGTGCTTAATCAATGCTTACTGAATTAATTTAAACTGGGAAAGGCCCTTCCTGGGACCACTTCCCAGTCATAGTGTGGGCGGAATCAAAGCTCTAGGCAGTATATCACCTAGACCTGGACAGGAAACCCCCAGGAAGGTCTATGTGTCTCTTCTCACACTCAGTTCTTCTCCACTTTCAAACAGGAGAAAAACTCCCATAGTAGGGAGTTCCAGAGTTTGGCAGAAAGATGCTTTAGGAATTAAGAAGCTCAGCCTCCCCACTGGCTCAGACGATTTGGAGGCTGAGGGTCCAGCCTAATGCTCCCCTGCCTGATTCCTCTGTTCCCGAAAATCTGACCTCCCCAAGCTCCCCCTCCCCACCAGACCATTCAGGGCCTCCTTCGCTAGAATCGCTCCCTCTTCCTATCCTCTGGACCTAAGTCATACCCTTCCTTGTCAAAGACTGTAATGGCAAATACAGTAACCCAAGCACCTCTTCATTCTGGAGGATCGCTTCGGCCTTGGAACAAACCTCCTCAGTACCCTCTGCCCCCTGGGGCTCCACCCTCTGCTCCTGGGACCTCACCCTCTGCCCCCGGGGCCCCACCCTCTTCCCCCTGGGGCCCCACCCTCTTCCCCCTGGGGCCCCACCCTCTCCCTCCCTGGAGCCCCACCCTCTGCCCCCCGGGGCTCCACCCTCTGCTCCTGGGACCCCACCCTCTGCCCCCGGCGCTCCACCCTCCACCCTCTGCTCCTGGGGCCCCATCCTCTGCCCCCGGGAGCTCCACCCTCTCTCTTATTTGGAGAGTAGAAAATGGCCATCGTAGAGCTCCTTGGAGACCCTCCATTTAAGGAGGGCGACCAGGCTAACTCTCTCTTCTTTTCCCACCTGGCTGCCCCAGTCTTGCACCTGGTCCCTTCCTTCTCTCCCTCCCTCTCCCCTCACCCCCTTTTCAGTTTCCGTTTCTGTGTTGTCTTCCTCCATTCGATTCGAAGTTCCTTGAGGGCAAGCTCTGCCTTTCTCCTTGTCTTCTCAGCCCTTAGCCCAGTTCCTGGCATCCTATAGGCACTTAATAAATGTTTAGTGACTGACTGACCTACTTACTGACTGTGGGACTTAGGATAAGACAGCTCACTTTCCTCATCTCTACCATGTGGGTGACCAAAATCTCTTCCCTTACAAACCTCTCAGGGCTGGTGTAAGGACCCCATGAGACTGGATGGGAAGTTACCATCAGTAAAGACATCTTCTCCATGGAGCTTTCCCACCAGAGCTCAGCTCTTTCTCCACATACTGACCTACAATGCTATTCTCTAGGTCTCCCCTAGTCAGGACCGCTTAGTATTAGTGCTTGATGCATGTATGCATGCATGTGTGTGTACGTATGCATGTAAGTGTAGCTTCCTGTTTCCCCAGTTGGAACGGCACCTGAGAACAAGGACTCTGTCTTTTTCCTCTTTAAGTCTCTACCATCTCGAACGATAGTGTTCCTGTAGTAGATACTTAATAGAAGTGTGTTAATGCTTATAATTAGAATGTGCCAGCATCAGGGAAAGGAGAACAGGGAAAAGTCGATTCGACTTGTCAGAACTTGGGTCTGGAGAAGCTCTGGGGAGTCATTCTGGCCACTCGGGCTCTGGTCCCGACGATTTGGTGTGGGGGTGGTTCTGTGGCTTCCCCATACTCTGCCCTTAGTTTGTACAATAACAGAAGCCTTCCCGGAGGGGCTGGGGTGGGAGTGAGGGGAGAGGACAGGAGGTGAGGGGGCACTCAGAGGAGCTTCGGGAGCCACCTCCTATAAGTCGGCTGGCTCTCTTTCGGATAGCTCCCACCCTAAGGTCCTTCGGTGGATAGCTAGGAAACTGGGCGCGGCAGAGCGGAACGGGGCGAGCCAAGGGCAGAACCAACCTCCCCCAGCACGGACTGCCCCCTCCTGAGCTTCCGCAAGTCCCGCCCTGGTCAGAAGCCCCGCTGGGAGCTGTCCTTCAGCACCACACGCCGGCCCCAGCTGGGCTGGGCACTGAGGGAGGCGGCCGTGGTGGTTGTGGTGCCGGCGGTGGCGGTGGCGGTGGCGGCAGCGGCGCTGACAGGGCCCAGGGCAGGTGGGGCTGAGCACTGAGTCCAAAGTCCCTTAAGGCCCGGGCCCCGGGAGGAAAGATCAGAACGCTGGGGATCTCCTCCACCCCGCAACCCCTCCAAAAGATTGGGGCGGGAGCCCGGGTTAGGGAAAGGGGCAGGGGCGCGGATTTGGACCTGGGAGAGGCGAGGTGAGGGTGGGGGGTCGCTGGGGCCCCGAGCTCCTAGGGCAGCGGGGGAGGGGTGTGGGAGGCGGGAGGATGCACCGAGGCGCAGAAGTGAATGCAGCTAGGGGAGGGCTGGAAGCGTCCTCGCCACCAAGGAGTACAGGCTGCAGCGGAGAGGGGGTGGGGATGGGACTGGGGGAGGGGGAGGGGAGAAGGGGGGGGAGGTGGAAAGCGACCGGCGCAGGCGCATTCGGGGCCCCCTCCCCCCTCTCTCGATTTGCTGCCCCTCTCTCTCCCCGCCTCCCTTCCCTCCCCCCTCCCCGGGGTTCTCAAGGTGTTCTCCGCACAGCGGAAGATGGCGACAGACTGAGCGGGGATGGCCAGCGCGCGCCACGGGGCCGTCCCGCTCGGCGGCAGCGGCCAGAGCCGGAGCCAGAGCCGGAGCCAGAGTGGCGCGCACGGCAAGCAGTGGGGAAAGGCGCCCTGAAGCCGCGCGCTCGGCCCGGAGCGAGTACGGAGGGGAGCCGGGGAGCAGCCAGAGCCGGAGAACAGTTGCTGGAGCCAGGGAGCAGCCGCCGGAGCCAGGGAGCAGACGCCGGAGCCGGAGAGCAGCCGCCGGAGCCGGAGAGCTGATCAGGAGGCGCAGGCAGCCCGGGAGCGCGGGGGACGGCCGGGGCCGGGGCCGGGCTCGGACAGGGGCACTGCCAGATTGAGCCAGGTAGCCGGCGATGCCCGCGGCCGGGCCCGCGGAGTGCTAAGTCGGGCTGGGCCGGACGGGAGTCGGGGCCCGAGCGGGAGCCCGAGAGCAACCGGAGCCGGGGCCAGAGTGGGAGCCGGGGCTGGGGCCGGGGCCAGGGCCGGACAGCATGAGGAGCTCGGGGCCGCGGCGGCAGCTGTCGCCGGGGTACCCCCCGTGGGTCCCTGCCCGGGCCGGGAACATCGCCTAGCGGGGCGCGAGGGGTGCGGGGACCGGGCTTGGGGGCCCAGGCGACCCACCCCACGACTCAGGCTCCAAAGGGGCCCGGCCCTGTCCGGCCCGGTGTCTCCCAGCCATGCGGCCGCCCAGGTAGAGCCCGCCCGGACGGCTACAGTAGGAGGAGCGTGGAGGGCCGCCTCGCCGAGCCGAGCCGGGCGCAGCGCAGTGCCCTCCCGCCTGCCCGTCGGTCCACCCGCCGGTCCCATCCCTCGGGTCAGGCTGCCCGCCGGTCCTCTTGCCTGTAGGTTCCCCTGACCCCCCTGAAATATGATCAGGGGCTCGTGGACGTGGCCCCGGAGAGATGCCGCTGCGCTCACGCTCTGCTACTGTTGCCGCTGCTGCTGCTGCTGCTGCTACAGCTGTTCCAGCTGCTGCTGCTGCTGCTGTGGCTGCGGCTGCTGCTGCTGGGCTCCCCGGCCCCCTCGGGGGGCCACGAGCAGCGACAAGCCGTGGGCCGACTCAGAGCGGGCGCAACGATGGCGCCTGTCACTGGCTTCGCTGCTCTTCTTTACGGTGCTGCTCTCTGACCGTCTGTGGCTGTGCGCTGGCGGCCGCCTGAGGGCCAAGGAGAGGAGCGGCTCGGTGAGGCTGCCCTGGGGGGCTGCCGGCCCAGAGCCCCAGCCCCGGCCCGAGGCCGATACTCCCCCAGCCATGCTGCTACTGCTGCCGCCGCCACCGCCTCCGCCGCCCCCGGGGGGCAGCTGTGGCTCTCTCCTGGGCAACCTGACCCAGGCCGCTGCAGCCCCGGGGCCGGGCTGTGGCAGCAGCTTCAACGGAGGCGGCGGCGGCGGCGGCCAGAGCAGCAGCCTCGACGGGGGCAGCAGCAGCAGCAGCAGCAGCAGCGGTGGCAGCCGGGCCGGCAGCATCGACGGGGCCGGAAGCAGCGGCCGCAGTAGCGGCCACTGGGGCAACAGCGGCGGCAGGGGCCCCTCTGGTCCCGAAGCGGCCTGCCTGGAGCCTCAGGCTCTGCAGAGACTCGTGGGCGCTGCGCCCCTGAGGCCCCTCATGTCTCCTCTGCCCACCTCGGGCAGGCCCCCCGCCTCCCAAACGAACTTGCTGCAAGGCCACTTTCGGAACTACACCCTGGCCTTTTGTGACTCCTACTCGGTGGCAGACCTGCTGCTGGGCATGGCCCCCCAGGACAGTCTGGACTGCAGCCTGGACGCCCTGCTGTCCGACTTGCTGACCACCGGGCCCGGGGCCTGGGAGGCGTGTTTCAGCTGTGTCCAGTTGTACCAGCGGCTGGACGAACACGCTCAGGAAAAATACGACGAGTTTGACTGCTTGCTGCAGAAATACTTGCAAGCGGAGGAGTATTCCGTGCGGTCCTGCATAGGAGACTGTAAGGTAGGGGCAGGGGACGAGGGGCGGGGCCCCTGGGAGCTGAGCTGCCGGCCTCCAGTGGACGGCGGGCTGCATTAGCAGCGCCAGCAGCAGCAGCACAGTGAGGGTGTCAGCCCGCCGCTGCCGCTCCCCCGCCGCCGCCGCCGCCACTGCCCCCCTACCCCAAGCAGGCGTCGATCCCCTTCCCCCTTCCCTCCTGCCGCCGTGTTAGATCTCTAGGCCACCCGCCTGCGCATCCCAACCCCCCCCCCCTCAAATAAATAGAGGCGCTTCGAGGTTCAGTGATTTAGTCAGGGTCACTCAGCTAGAAAGGGCCAGAGCTGGGATCTGAAGCCGGGTCTTCTGACTCGAAGGAGGCCAGGGTCCTTGCCAGTGCTCCAGGAGCCATCTCAAGACCTGCTCTCTCTCTCTCTCTCTCTCTCTCTCTCTCTCTCTCTCTCTCTCTCCCTCTCTCTCTCCTTCCGTGTTCCCACCTGTCAAAGGCTTGGAGTTCCTAGATGTGAAGTCCTGTAGGGAATAGCAGGATCCCTGAGCCCTTGGCAGCTGTGTCTAGCAATTGAGAGTCGGAGGGGCACTGGTCAAGTGAGGTGGAGGCCTGGAGGGCCCCTGGCCCCTGTCTCTGGCCTTCTCACCTCTGAACCAGCCCTGCCCCCTGATTTCAATAGGGTCTTCCTAGAAGAGCTAAGGGGAATGGGAAGCCAAGAGGTATCCAGATCAGGGGCTGACCACTTGACATTCTGACTCTTACCCCTTTCTTGCTGCTGAAGGCCAAGAACAGGGCTCTAGGGAGGGATGGGGAACGACTACCTCAAAAGGCATGGCCACTGGTGACCTGGGAGGCCTGGGTTGGACATCAATGGGCAAGGAAGGCTCCTCAATGGCTCCTAGGGATATTGACTGAGATTCGCCCCCTCACTCCCATGCTCCAGGAACCCCCAAAGCCTGTTCCTTCTGTCTGGCTTCTCTCAGAAGAAAGTGGGTGAGACAGAACCTACCTGGTCTCCTCCAGCTTTATTCATTAAAAAAGCTCCCTTACCCAGATTCCCCCCAAGTTGGTCTTTGGTGAGAGTAGAGGGAAAGAGGAATCAGAGTTGGAGAAGGGCTGAGCTGAGCTTCTTCTACATTGAACTAAACTATATGCACTGAGAGAGCCTGATGGTAGGCTAAGCCTGGACATCAAGAGGATGATGGGGGATGTAAGCTGAATCTGGATCTACTGAGCTGCTCAAATCTTTGGCAGGAATGAGGGGGAGGGAGGGGACAGTCAGTATAGTCACAGGCTTAGGTAGTGAGGGTGGGCAAGGAGACCAGGGCAGATGGGAGTCTTCCCTCCTCCTTGCGCATCAGGAGCTGGATGGATTCCTCCTACCAAGTGTGCATTTGTTGCTAGAAAGTACTTTCTTCTTCAAGGCCCCATGGATCCAATGTGCCACCCAATAGATGCTCTAACAGTTCTGGGGCAAGAGGATGGATGGGATGTTGGGGTGGGGGAGAGGTCTTTGCTCCTGACTTTCCTTTCTCCAGTTACTCTCCCTCCCTCCTCCTTCAGCCTCAGCTGACTCACTGCCTCACTCACACTATCAAATGAGAAATGCAACCCCTTAAAGTCACACAGCCACCTAGGGAAACTGACTCCCCCCTTCCAGGCAATGTCAGAGGGAGACCTCCAGATCTGGAGATTGGCGTGTGAGCAAGCACACACACACACACACACACACACACACACACACACACACACCTTCAAAAGTGTCACAGAAGCAGACAAAATGTCACAGAGACCTCCAGATCTGGAGAATAACACACACACACACACACACACACACACACACACACACACTCATCCCTCCAAAAGTGTCACAGAAGCAGACGAAATGTCACAGAAAGACACAGACATACCCACACCCACAGTGCTATCCACACAGGCATAGACAGAAGCGCTGTCACATACATACATACATACATACACACACACACACACACACACACACACACACACACACAGACAAAATTTGTCCCAAAGAAGAGGCACACAGCTTTGGTGTCAACCACTAGCACATAACCACGGACCATGTCAGAATGTTTCATGTACTGATGATGTATCCTGGAGACAAAGCCACATGGCTAGCCTGGCAGAGAAATTGGTCTCCCGCCCCCAAGCCCACAGCATTGATTTTTAAAAAATCAAACCCCAGAATTCATTCCATAAACAAACATTTATTGAGCAGCTGTTATGTATAGAAGACTGAGCAGGCTTGAAGGGAGGTGGAAGTCATCATACAAGAATAAGTAAGACAGGGCCCAGGGTCTCAAGGAACTTAGAGTCTGGTAGAGGAGATGAGACATGTATACAACTCTGATACAAATTAAAGTGTAATAAGTCCATAAGAGATCTCAAAATTGTGAGACTAAATGAGAGAAGTTCACTGCTAGATGGGGGATTGTGGATCTCCTGGGGCTCCTGGAAAAGCTGAACCTTGAAGGATGGGTAGGATTTCAATAGGTGGAGATGGTGGGACAATGCAGGGCACTTGGGGAGGGGGCTGAGCACAGGTAGATCTCTGCTGGTGCCAGTAAAGAATCCCATAGAGTTTGTCACATTTATGGAATTCACGTTGCTTATTTCCACTGGGCTGGAACCAATTACCATATTTTCATAATTATAACTTCAAATAGTTCAAATTCAACTACATGCAGTCATTTCAAGGGATTCATTATTAACACTAATTTAGACCTACCTGTACTCCCAGATGGGAGATGGATGGGCCACTGAAAACTGCCCTACAGGTTTCTATTTATCTACTCCCCAGCTCCAAATTCCCAGTTTCCCTCAGAGTTCCTGCTGTCTCACTTGCTTTCCTCTTCTTTGATTGTCCCTCCCCCTTTATCTGCTGCCTTTCTCCTGAAAGTGGGCTTAAAGATGTTTAGCCAAAGTCCTCTCCTCTCCTCTGCCACCCCCACCCCATGTCACATCCCTGTATTCCAGGGCATAGGACCTAAACCACTCCAAGACTCCAAGATGCAAATCCCTGGGGGCTGTTACGTGAACCTTGGGGCTGATTTCACGTGTTCAGGTCCTCTTACTCATCCCCAGACTCAGCCTCTGTCACTTCCTCTCCTAGTTGCCCTGGGAGATCACATAACCTCTCTTTGGGTCTCTGGGGGATGAGAGGACAGTCAGCCCTGAGGCCAGGAAGCTTTTTCTCCAATGCCAGCCAAGCCTGGTGCTCCCTGCTTAAATGACTGAATCCCTGAGGCCCAGCCATGTTTAGTGCTTCTGAAGCCCTTCTGCCTTCTCCCTTCGGCCCTTGTTTCAGGCCCCACCAATCATACCTCACTGCTGCCTGTGACACCTGCTAATTTAGGGCCAACTGCAACATCTTCTTAATGTGATACTTGCTTCCTTTCTTAAAGCAGAAAGGAGATTTACCCAGGCCCTGGATCCCACTGTCTGAGTACCCCCTCCCCCCAACCCTCCCCCCCCCCCCCCAGCCATCCTGTGGCCTTGCCCTTCGATAGCTCTGTCCTCAGCCCTGTGACTCTGTCTTAGGTGTTTCTGGGAAACTGGCCTCAGCTGGGGGCCACTATATTTTCTCTGTACTCTCTTACATGCAAGGCAGCTTTGTGGCTGTCCATCTAGGGCCCTGATATTGCCCCCGGCGGCAGTTCTGGGTCCAGAGTCCTTCCCTTAATCCTCAGTCTCATTTCTGCTCCAGACCCTTAAATGCTTGATGGACAGGGGAGGCTAGGTGGCTTTAACACTTTTGATTTGGAGGAATGAAAAGGAAGCCTGGGAGGAAGTTGCCTTCAGTCCTCCTTCCCTGCTAGGCTAGGGTCAGAGAAGGAGCAGAGCAGATCTGCCACCTGGCGCCCCAAGACTTACTTACCCAGGCTAGCTGGCCCCACTGTTATCACATAGATGCCTTCTGCCTCCCCACTCCAAGCAAGATTCCATGGCCTGGAGCCAAACACCCCTGGCAATGGGCAGAGGCGAGATAGGCTCGGCCTCTCCCATGTACTTGTATGCCAGCCTAGTCTAGGCTAGCAGAGCAATGGAAGCAAATCCTGCCCTCTGCCCTGGTTATGCCACATCTGGAATGTAAATTGTTTTCAGATCTGGGTGCCACATTTTAGGAAGGACATTGACAAAGTGGAGGGCACTCCAAGGAGGGCAAGCAGGCTGCCTATAGAGACTAGGAACCATGCCATAGCAAGATCTCTGGAAGGAGCTGGGAATGCTTAGCGTGAAGAGAAGACTGGAGCTCGGAGTGGGGACATCATGAGCTTCTGGTGAATGTGAAGCACTGCTCTGTGGACGGGGGCTTAGCTTTGTTCTGCTTGGCCCCAGAGGGCAGGACCAGGAGCAATGAGTAGTGATAAGAGACCAAGATTTCAGCTTGATGTAAGGAAGAACTCTCGAACAATGAGAAGTGTCCCAAATTAGGACGGGCTCCTTCGTGCCCAGACAGTTTGAACAGAGACTGGCTAACCACTTTCAGGGGATGCTGTAGGAAGGGGTTCCTGCACAGGTACTGGTTGGACTAGAGGTCCCTCCCGTCAAGAGACTCTGGGATTTCAAACACCCTCTTCTCTATGGCAGTGCCCTGGCACCATGCCTGCTGGGCACCAGGAGTGCATGTTCTGATTAGAATTTCAAAGCCAGCTTCCTGCAGAGATTAACCCCTGTCCTCTTGTCCATCACCTCCTGCTGCACTACAGGCTTCAAGACACCAATGAGCAGAGCTCTGCAGGGGGCCTCCTTTACCCTGGGGCTCTTGCTGGCCTAGGAGGATACCCTATTTCCCCAAACCGCATGCAGCTACTGTTCAGGTTTCCTCCAGCAAATGGTGCTTGTCACTTTCTCTCCAAGGGGCTAGCTTTGGAGAAATTGGCCCGTTAGTGAGCGAGATTGCCCCAGTGGCCTCAGCTGTCCAGGTTATGGTTCTTTCCCACCTCCTACTCAGGGTGCTTCTGGTCTGTCTCCTGCTCTGGTCAGCCTCCCAATC